CGTCGTGGCAGCGGGCGGGGGTCCGGCACGACGTGCCCGGCTGGGAAGGCTCTCGGGTCCCCCATTCCTCCCCGCTCCCTTCCTTCTCTCTTCCCCCACTTCGGTCTCTTATTTCGGTTCTTTCTCCCGTTCTCGTTGTTTCTCTCTTTTTTTTTTTCCCCCGTCTTTTTTTTTTCCCCTCATTTTTTCTTTGTTTCTCCTTTTTTTTTCCTTTCTCTTTTCCTTTCTGTTTCCTTTCGCCTTTTCTTTCTTTCTCCTTTTCTTTCTCCTTTTCTTTCTCCTTTTCTTTCTCCTTTTCTTTCTCCTTTTCTTTCTCCTTTTCTTTCTCCTTTTCTTTCTCCTTTTCTTTCTCCTTTTCTTTCTCCTTTTCTTTCTCCTTTTCTTTCTCCTTTTCTTTCTCCTTTTCTTTCTCCTTTTCTTTCTCCTTTTCTTTCTCCTTTTCTTTCTCCTTTTCTTTCTCCTTTTCTTTCTCCTTTTCTTTCTCCTTTTCTTTCTCCTTTTCTTTCTCCTTTTCTTTCTCCTTTTCTTTCTCCTTTTCTTTCTCCTTTTCTTTCTCCTTTTCTTTCTCCTTTTCTTTCTCCTTTTCTTTCTCCTTTTCTTTCTCCTTTTCTTTCTCCTTTTCTTTCTCCTTTTCTTTCTCCTTTTCTTTCTCCTTTTCTTTCTCCTTTTCTTTCTCCTTTTCTTTCTCCTTTTCTTTCTCCTTTTCTTTCTCCTTTTCTTTCTCCTTTTCTTTCTCCTTTTCTTTCTCCTTGCTTTCCTTTCCTTTCCTTTCCTTTCCTTTCCTTTCCTTTCCTTTCCTTTCCTTTCCTTTCCTTTCCTTTCCTTTCCTTTCCTTTCCTTTCCTTTCCTTTCCTTTTCCCTTCTCACATTCCCCCTTCCCTTTTAATTCCTTTTTCCTTTACCACTTTTTTCTTCTTCTCTTCTCTTCTCTTCTCTTCTCTTCTCTTCTCTTCTCTTCTCTTCTCTTCTCTTCTCTTCTCTTCTCTTTTCTTTTCTTCTTTTCTTTTCTCTTCTTTTCTTTTCTCTTCTTTTCTTTTGTTTTGTTTTCTCTTCTTTCCGCTTCTTTTCTTTTGTTTTGTTTTCTCTTCTTTCCGCTTCTTTTCTTTTATCGTCTTTTCTCTTCTTTTCTCTTCTCTTCTTTCCTCTTCTTTTCTCTTTTCCCACTTTTCCCCGTCCCTCCTCCTCTCTCCCACTCCCACTTACCGCCTGTGTCCCTTCTCCGGCCGGGCAGCCCTCGGGGGCCGCCACTCGCCCTGTCGTCCCCGGACGGGGCGGGGGCCGGTCCCCGTTCCCGTCCCTCCGGCTTCTCCCGGTGGTGACGGTGCCGGCCGGCGGTGCCGTCCCGCTGCAGAGCACACCTACGGCGAGGTCAACCAGTTGGGGGGCGTCTTCGTCAACGGGCGGCCGCTGCCCAACGCCATCCGGCTGCGGATCGTGGAGCTGGCGCAGCTGGGGATCCGGCCCTGCGACATCAGCCGCCAGCTCCGCGTCTCGCACGGCTGCGTCAGCAAGATCCTGGCCCGCTACAACGAGACGGGCTCCATCCTCCCGGGGGCCATCGGGGGTAGCAAACCGCGGGTCACCACCCCCAACGTGGTCAAGCACATCCGTGACTACAAGCAGGGCGACCCCGGCATCTTCGCCTGGGAGATCCGCGACCGGCTGCTGGCCGACGGCGTCTGCGACAAGTACAACGTCCCTTCGGTCAGCTCCATCAGCCGGATCCTCCGCAACAAGATCGGCGGCCTCTCCCAGCCCGGCCCCTTCGACGGCGGCAAGCAGCACCCCCCGCCCCAGCCCGCCCTGCCCTACAACCACATCTACCAGTACCCTTACCCCAGCCCCATGGCCTCGCCGGCCGCCAAGATGGGGGGCCACCCCGGGGCCACCGTGGCGACCGCCCACGTCAGCCTGCCCCGCTCCTGGCCCTCGGCCCACTCCGTCACCAACATCCTGGGCATCCGCACCTTCGTGGAGCAGACGGGTGGGTACCGCGCTCCGCGCATCCCCCCCCAGGCAGGGATCTCCCCTTCCCCTCCCGGCCGGCAGCTCTTTCCTCCTTCGACCCCGATTTTTTGCGGGGATAAGGGGTTTTTTTTGTTTGTTTTTCGGGGTTTTTTCGTCCTTCGACCCCGATTTTTTGCGGGGATAAGGGTTTTTTTTTTTGTTGTTTTTCGGGGTTTTTTCGTCCTTCGACTCCGATTTTTTTGCGGCGATAAGGGGTTTTTTTTGTTGTTGTTTTTCGGGTTTTTTTGGGTTTTTTTTTTTTTTTGATCACCGCACCCGGCAGGACTGGGCGGCGGGGCCAGATGCGGCGAGTCTCAGACATCTTGAACTTTTTATGAAAAATGTGGAAAATATTTTCTTAGGGATGATAGATTGCCGACCGCAAATTCGGAGCCCTGAATTTCTCTTTGCAGAGGGGAAAAAAAAATATAAAAATACGAGAAGGAGCTGAAAACAGTGAATTAGTTGCAAAGTTTCATGATGGATTCTGAAAATAAACCTCTTCCCAACATGGTTTCCACAATCCTTGCTCCCATTCAGAGAGAAAAATCCTGGGCAGAAGTAGCATAAATCCACAGCTGAGCCATCCCCCCCAGCAAACCCAAAGAAAAAACAGCTCTCCCCTTGGCGGCTCAGCTCCTTCTCCACTCTAAAGGCC